CTTTGCTACTCTCTGTATCACCTTTTGTCACTCTTTGCTACTCTCTGTATCACAGTGTGTCACTCTTTGCTACTCTCTGTATCACCTTTTGTCACTCTTTGCTACTCTCTGTATCACAGTGTGTCACTCTTTGCTACTCTCTGTATCACCCTCTTTCACTCTTTACCACTCTCTGTATCACCCAGTGTCACACCTTGCCACTCTCTAAATCACCCTGTGTAATTCTTTGCCACTGTGTCACACTTTGCCACAATCTGTGACACTTTGCCACTCTCTGTATCACCATCTGTCACACTTTGCCACTCTCTGTATCACCCTGTGCCACTCTTTGCTACTCTTTGTGTCACCTTGTGTCACACTTTGCTACTCTCTGTATCACCCTCTGTCACTCTTTGCCRCTCTTTGTATCACCCCCTGTCACTCTTTGCCACTCTCTGTATCACCCTCTGTCACACCTTGCCACTCTCTAAATCACCCTGTGTAATTATTTGCCACTGTGTCACTCTTTGCCACACTCTGTATCACCCTCTATCATTCTTACCACTCTCTGTGTCACCCTGTCACTCTCTGCAACTCTCCATCACCCTCTGTCTCTCTTTGCCACTCTCTGTATCACCCAGTGTCACTCATTGCCACTCTCTGTGTCAGTCTTTGCCACACTCTGTCACTCTTTGCCACATTCGGTATCACCCTGTGTCACTCCTTGTCACTCTTTACCACTATGTGTAACTCTTTTCCACCCTCTTCCACTCTTTGTCACTCTTTGTCACCCTCTGTGTCACTCTGAGGTATGAGATTCTAAGGTTGTTATTCACCTTGAAATCTTCCCGTTTCTGTGGAAGAAAGAAAAACAGAAAACAGATTTTTGATAAAATATTTCTACACATGTACTTTTAATTTATTGTGTAATTATCAGGAAGTAAAACGTACAAAGTGTGTACTTTAATAAATATGTAAGAACATTTTTCTGTCAAACTCCTTGTTTTGTCTCACCTGGTGAAATGAGGACCAGGGTCTGTGTGGGGCTCCAGGGTCCTTGTCCTGCCCCCGTGTAGGCGCAGACTCGAAAAGACACATTGGACAGGGGGACAGACAGATTGATTGACACCTCATTGTCTAACCCGGCATCAGCAACAATCTGGACAAAAAAAAAATAGAAGGTTGGAAAGTTTGGAGGTTTTATTTTCAACACTGATCAGTCCGTTGATCTGGATTTATTAATCTTATACAATGAGAATGCTGAGTCAGCATTAGCATCATTTTCCAGCTCTGAGTTTAGTTTCACAGTAAATGTCACATCTGTGGCTGTTTGTGGTCCGAACCAACCTGCGGTGCACCAGGTGTGCTGTACTCCACCACGTAGCCCAGAAGAYCTCCGTTCAGCTTCCCCGGAGGCTCCGCCCACATCACCAGCACCTCCGTCCCGTTTGGTTTAGCCGTCACRTTAACTGGAGGGTTCTCTGGCACTGAAACGTATAAAAAAAAAACATGACGTGGCTTAAAAAGATTTCCTGTCGACCTGATAAAAGAAGTCAGGATTCTGGGTCGGACAGCGGAACCGGCAGGGCTCAGATTGTGGGTTTGGTGGACCGAAGCCAGATGTTAGAGCGGCGTGCGTTCTGACAGCTTCCAGCCTCTGGGATGAGAATGATGAAAACTCTAACATCTGGAGGGAGAAGATGTGAATGTGGAGAATTCTCAGCTGAAACTAAAGGGTGTGGGGGCACCGTGTACGGGAGGGAGTCCAGTTTCTGACCTTGGTCCAACCTCCTCTGGACTCCCCCGTTTTTAAATTAAACTCCTTCCTTTCAGAAAACAGACGGGTGTTTCACTGTTTCAAGGATTCTTGGTTGAACTTTTACTCGACYGATTCCTAGTTTGTTGTTTACCTTCACTCTCAGCTTGAACGGACCTTAACATTGTTCAGATTTGACGTTTCTTGGTCATTTCTCTGCCTTATTTCTGTTGACTTTACAKAATATTTATGACAATATCTCAGTTCAACCTTGTTTTGTCCTGATTTTTCTTCTTTTGACTAATTCTCTGCACTTTTGTTTGTTTGAGTGTCTTGAGCTTCATTGTCTGTTGGGATGAGTTCATTTTTTACCCGTTTCTTTGCTCAACTGTCTTGACTGGACTTGTTCTTGACCTGACCTTATCTCAACCTTACCTTTGGTTGACAACACTGTTTCTCAGTTTGCTTGTTTGTTTCATTGTTTTTAAGTTTAACCATTTCTTTGCTGGACTTTATTTCAACTCAACGGTTTCTGGATGTAACGTTTCTTTGACTTTGTCTTGACTGGACTTGTTCTTGACCTATCCTCTTCTTGACCTTACCTTTAATTGACTCGACTGTTTCTTGATTTAACGGTTTTGTGTTTTGACCATTTCTTTACAGCTATTTAACTGTTTCCCTACCGGACTTTATTTAAACTCGACTGTTTCTCGATATAATGGTTTCTTTGACTTTGTCTGGACTGGACTTGCTCTTGGTCGGACCTATACTCGGCCTCACCTTTCATTGACTGAACTGTTTCTTGATTTGATTTTTTTTTCTTGTTTTTGATTGTTTTACGAGTTAACCATTTCATGATAGTTTTTCAGTTTAACTGTTTCATTGCCAGAGTTTATTTAAACTCGACTGTTTCTCGATATAACCGTTTCTTTGACTTTGTCTTGACTGGACTTGTTCTTGACCTATCCTCTTCTTGACCTTACTTTTAGTTGACTCAGTGGTTTCTTGATTTGATTGTTTGGTGATTTGACCATTTCTTTACCTGTTTCCCTTCCGGACATTTTTTCAACTTGACTGTTTCTTGATATAACCGTTTCTTTGACYTTGTCTTGACTGGACTTGTTCTTGGTCGGACCTTTTCTCTGCCTCACCTTTAGTTGACTCGACTGTTCCTCAGCTTTAACTAGCTCTGGACTCCTCAGATTTTTACTCGGCAGTTTTCAGCCTGACTCTCTTTTCTTCTCTGGTTTTTCTGGAGTAAAAGCAGCTGTGAGCAGAAAATACCCAGAGGAGAGAAAAGGCAGAAGAACGTGCCAGAAGTGGAATTTGAGCGTAAGAATAAAAATGCACAGAATTCCAAGAAAAGAGGACTTTTGTTTAGATAGTTTGAGTCTGCCGGCTCTACGACGCAGCCTGAGCTCAGTGAGTTTGGGGGAAAACGCTGCCCGGCCCACAGATGATATCAGGGATTGTTTGGCGGCTGATTGTTTCCACATGTGGTCCGTGTTCTGCCTGCAACAAAAACAACCTCTGAGTCAAGTTCGCCAGCAGCTCAGCTCCACCTAAACGCTCCATCATCTCCTCCCATGGAGGTTTTTATTTCCCCGTCTTCCATCTTCATCACGCCAGCTCCTCGACCCTTGTACCGATCTTTTGTCGTACCGCTAGAAACTCGAGAGAACCGAGATTTTAACTCTCCAARTTTTTAAAATCTGCTCAGCTTATTGAGTTATGGCAACTTTTTTCTTTACTTCCTGTTTGAAAAGGTTTAAAGACGTTTTGAAGACAGAGACGTGTCTTTCTCTCTCTTGCTGTAAGTCTTGGGTCGTCCTCAGACTCACTGGCCTCAGTTTGGGTCAACACTCAGACGGAAAAAGGTTTGACTAAACCACAAACTGACGCAGAACTCCGAGGTTTTTTTCTCTGATGGGAAAACTTTGCAACAAACAACTGTTCTGCTATATTTCACAAGACGTTACGGTGCTAAAAAGATGTTTGTTTCAGTTTAAAAGCAGAACGTTCTGTCTCTTTAAGGAGTTTTTTTTGCTCATAAACAGGATTAAATGTTGCGTCATGTTGACTCATTTCTCTGGTTTTGTTTTGTTTTTTATTAAAAGTGTCAAATCATAATTAATAATCCCCTCTTATTACAATTCAGGTGAAAAACTCATAAAACATGCAGCTAAAATGGTTATAATGTGCTGAGATTTTATAAATCTGCAACAAAAAGTTGAAAAGTTTTATTAAAATGTTTTGTGTTTGTTAGTTTGTATTTGAAAGGAATTTCTGGAGTTATTTTAGGAGGCAAAAGGAGCTAGAAATATAATCTGAGTGCAGCTTTAGGATTTAGAGGGCAGCGAGGTTCACCTCATTTCCTCTCCCACCAGCCTCCTCGTTCTCTCGCCCTCCGGGGAGAAACTGCAAAAATCTGTGTTTTCTCAAACCCCCCTCATTTCTCTGCTGCAACGTTTATTTTTTCCCCTTAACTCATTATAAACCCACTTCTTTTACGTTTTTCCCACAGTGCCTCGGCCTGGAAGAAAAGAAAAACTCAGTGAGTTTGATTCCTGCAGGATTAAAGCCAAAGAAGGACCAAACCAGGAACTCGATGGTGAGTTCRCCGAGGAAACAGATGAGAACAGAAAAAAACTTGTCGGAGTCGTAAATCTGAAAATGTAAAACGTGAGGCCGCAGCATGTGGGAGCGTCTGCAGCAGGATGATATGTGGACGAGAACATTTCTGCACAATTTATGAACAAGAAGGAGTAAAAAAAAGGTGGGGGGGAGTATTAAGACATATTCCTTTGAAGGAATGCATCACAGAGCGTGGCAGCCGTCTTTAACAGAGCTACTCCCAAAGTTTATTTTATTTATTACTAACTGCCTTAATGGTTTCTCTAAAATCCATTCATGAGATATTTTACTAACAGACACACAGTCAGTGGTAATAAASTGGGAACTGACTCATTTCTCTTCTGACTTTAACCCAGTTTGAGGAACCAAACTGTTCCTGTGAGATCATAAAATCTGAGTTTTTGGCCTGAAATGAAACAAAAGATTGTTTTTTTGTCAAATAAAGAACTGAAAGTCTTAAAACCTGACCGTGGCCAGCGTTTCAACCGGTTCTACTTCTCTCTTTTTATTTCCCCGTTTCAGAAAAGCAAAGCTGTGTTCACAGCTCACACACGTTTCCACCCCGTTTCTCCGTGGATGTGGAAAATCCCACCTCAGGTTAAAGTCAAACACGGTGGTTTTGGTTTAGAGCGAGCGCTGATCTTCAGTGAAGCCGTTCAGGAAACTTTCACCTCCTGATCCAACATGGCCGCTGACCGCCACAGTTTGCAGACTAACCTTAGCTTTTCTTCATAAACGCCATAAAAAAGACAAACATGACTACCTGACCACGCCTTTACCTGAGCTTTTGAATCTCAGACTTAGATTGGCTGTTGTGTTTGCCTTGGACAGAAAATAACGTGCGTTTTCAACACAATGATCCCGCCCACATGGAGGCGGAGCTCAATTTAAACCAGGTGGACCMGGGTAGGATCAAGGAGGGTCATAGTGAGACCAGACAGAAGTAAATGATGGCTATAGTTAGAGAGTGGAGCAGAAGCTGGAAGCTGAAGCTACGACAAACGAGCAGGTTCAAGTCCAGTGTGTTAAGCCCCGCCCCTTTATTTAAATAAAGACWTTTTCAAGGCGATAATTATGTAGCCCTGACTTTTAACCATAAATATTATTTTAAAAACATGTACACAGAGTTCAGGGATTATTTAAGAGCTGGTATAGCATCATTGGCAGCTAGCTGTAGCACTTCCTGCTGGAGTATCATAGAGTTTTTGCCAAATAAAACCATGTAAAATCAGCTAATATCACCGGACTGTAAGCTAAAATGAGCAAAAACTGTGCTGAAATAAGCAAAAAAGTTAAAACTAAAATGAGAAAAACGAGCTAAAATTAGCAAAAGATTAATTAAAATGAGCAAACTGAGCTAAAATGAGCAAAAAACAAGCTAAAATGAGGAAAACATGAGCTACACTGAGCAGAAGATGAACTACATAAATTGACCAGAAGGTGAGCTAAAACGAGCAGACTGAGCAAAAATGGCAAAAAGCTAGCTAAAATGAGAAATGGATGAGCTAAAATTAGCAAAAGATGAACTAAAATGACCAGAAGTCATGCAAGTCCAGTGGGTTAAGCCCCGCCCCTTTAAATAAATAGAGATATTTTCCAGGCGTTACTTGAGAGCTGGTATAGCATCATTAGYAGCTAGCTGTAGCACTTCCTGCTGGAGTATCATAATGTTTTTGTTAGATAAAGCCATGTAAAGTAAAACTGGCAGCTCTGTGAGGGTTTATAATACAGGTTTTTCAGAAATTGAATCAGTTTAAAGATGGCAGCTGTCAGCTCAGACTAGCCTTTAGCTCATCACTCTGGTCCGAATTAAACTGTTTMTTTAAATTAAAGCCCTTTTAAAAATCTATCTACAGCAGGTAAGATATTAAAYGTTTGTAACTTCTCCACAGAATCCCAACCTTGATCCCGACACTCCCGATGAAAACTCACCTCCTTCTTTGGTGCGTAGCTCCGCCCACGGCGACCAGTGGGACGAGCCCTGGCTGCTGTGGCAGGACACCCTGACGGCGTACCGGCTGTGGGGCTCCAGGTCCCCGATCAGGTGGGCGGCCGGGGGGACGCTCACCTTCTGGTCGTGGATCAGCTGATCTGGACCGGCCAGGAAGGACTCGTCCAACGCCTTGGCCTGCAGGGGTCAGGTAAGAGACCAGATCGTTTTATGACACAAACAACAAAAACCTAATTAATAAAAACTGGATAAATGTGCAGAACAACTAATAAAAACAAAAAAAGAGACACTTTAACTTTTCATCATCATCTGTTTGAGCTTTACACAACTCAGTGACTCAACCCAATTCAAGATGGCCGCCACRATCAACACACAAATATCTCCAACTCGGACGATCTCACCCTGAGACACAATTTCCCCAAACATGYCMTGTGAGGTMAAATAAAACAAAAYAAAACATCTACAGCTGTTATTTSTCTAAMTGAAACCTGCTGAACCAGTTATTTTATTTCAAACCGTTTARATTTGTAACAGAATGACTCAGGTTTGATTTTTGAGTTTTCTGTTTTAATTCAAGTTGCTTTTCTGTAAACAAAAACTAAAGTTTTATAACATTCTCCACTTTAACTGGGAATAATTGTCAAGGTTATAGTAGTTTTGTATTTTTCATTATAGTTTAGTTTTATTTC